TAAATATACCGGTATTATCGTATACCGGTATGACGTCATACCGGTATATCTGCATTTCGGTTTGCATAAGGGTTTTCATACCATTACCCAAAAATATCGGTAAAATACCGGTATTTTNCATACCGGTATAAGTCCCTGGTCTTAGCAGTGCTGAATAGCTCAGCTTAACTTTGTTACAGCAGCACAAACTTACTCATGAGAAGAGATATTTTAGGTTGCTAACCACTGTATTTAGGTTGCTAACCACTGTAATCGGAGAACATCCTTAAATAACAGTATATTCACGTCCACCTTCACCCAGGATCTTAGGCTCATTGGTTTTCAGGGTTGATTTAATATTTTCCTTCGAGCCGTATTTATTAATTGTTATTTAATTTATTATTGTATTCTGAGTGTGCAAACAGAAGTAGAACGTAGAACGCATATTGTTCTGCATAGTCTGTTTTTAGAATAGAACGATTGTATTATACGAATAATGGCGTTTCTTTGAGAGAACTTGTGTATACTAATCCAATCGTGTTTTTTTTTTTTTTTTTTTTTTAAACATTCTTGTTTCTACGACGATTTAACCTGTCGAGGAACGATTTTAATTATTCTCAATATAAATTTAATGAAAGAAAAATTTCACAGGCCCTTTTGCGATATCGAAACAGTTTTCGATTTTTTGTTCCTTTTTTATTTCTCATGGAACTTATCAGCTTCATTGACAAACGATTAAGTAAAGGGAGTTCGCGCGGGTTTCGAATCGAAAGGAATCGAAACGAAATACCGTTGTTACGTGAGGATCATTGCATTTACGGACGGGGAATAATCGACGGTCGATGACGGACGACGGTGTTGGGCAACAAGAGCGAAGGCACACAATAATGCGTCTTTTTATTTCAAATGGGACAGACAAGCCAGACTGCAAAAAATGTCTCAAGGCTCTGCAAGAATTGGAGAACATCGACGACGAGGCCGATCAATTAGGTATTGGCTTCGTGAAGATCGCGGACGAAGAGCTCGCGGATGAGTATAACCTTGGTCCTCTCCCAGCTCTCGTGTATTATAGACATCAAATTCCAATCATTTACGAAAGTGAGTATATATACACACGTTTTTTTTTTTGCATATAACGTTTAGAAACGTTGCGAATTGCGCAAACGCAAGTTGTGTTCGCGGGAAACGTAATGAAACGTTTCGTCGCTTTCTCTCTTTCTCGAGTGAAAAAAAGTGGAAAAATATTTTTTTTACGCGTCGACAACACAATGTGCAATAAGGTGCTTCTTTTTTTCATCGAAAAAAAAAGAAGAAAACGCGAGAGATTAACAACAGGAAATATAATAAGGCCGATACGAGCCATTCGCAGGATGTTTGTGCGGAAACTATGCGTGTACAGACGGCGTCATTAATTCGAAGAATAGGCGCGGGGATCACATAAAAAGTCCAGTTGATCCAAATATCCATTAGTCCCAAAATCGGGTGTCCGGTTGTGGACACCCGATTGCTACTAGTTAGTTAGTACGGCGCCCGTTGGCGCT